CATTATCCAAATTACGCAAGACACATGTTGTTAGTCAGCAGGATTCTTCAGGTATAGGATTCTTTACCTGAGGTCCAAGGCAGAAAGTTCTTCTTTGACCAACTGCACCAGAGACCGGGTTACAGGTAGATTCCATAGACTCAAGGCATACGAAAGGTGAGAGACTTTGTTTTCTGTAGGGTGTCCAAGTGGCCTGAGGTTCACTGTCATTCAGTAACGATGTAACTCATGTTATCCACTTCCTGTCACCCTCTGTCTTCTGGATCAGATAAATTGGACTCTAAAAAGTTCATTCAGAAATGTTCCCTGGGTTAAAATGGCCCAGCGTTTGACCAGTAGCCTTGTTAAAAATAAGAGTGAGCCCTGCAAGCAAGCACAGTCTGATCCTTTGAACTTTTGTCTGGCAGGCCTATGAATTTGGGTCTGAGATCATATCCTATGCCCAATTTAGCCAAAGCCTCTCATGATCATGTTCAGTACTTCAAAGAGCTTCTCTCTTCCCTGGAAACCCTGAGACAAGTCGGAAGGACCCAGAAGGACAGGCCAGGGGAAGTCTGCCACTCTTATCAACCAATGGGGATATTTCAGGAACATAAAGGTGCTCCAGAGGAATGATGGTCCGTCATCACACTGAAAGGGACTCTTTCAAGCGTCTGGATGTGTCTATCAAATGGAAAGAAAAATTCTGTTGGATTAATGCTTTCCATGAAACAACCCAGGAGGACAGGACTGGATTTCCCTAAAGGACCTGAGACTTGTATTTTCCTCAAATAACTAATATCAAAACTGAACTCAACTAAAAAGAGCCATTCTAATGAACTTACTGTTATCATAGCCAGGGTTAGATAGCTTTCCATTATTGTAACATGATTTCTGAGAAAAACCAACTTATAAGAAAGAAAGTTTGGAGCTAGTGGTGAAGAGCTGGCCTAGCATGTCTGAGGCCCTAGGTTCCATCCTTAGCACCACATATAAATGGATAAAGTGCAGGTATTTTGTCCATCTACAATTGTTTTTAAAAAAACGAAGGCAAAAATGGCAAGCTTTTTTCTGTTTTTTTTTTAAATCTTTATTTTGGCTCACAGTTTCAGAGGTTTCTGTTCATAGGTGGTTGGCTCCTTGCTTTCGGGCCTGGGGTAAAGCAATACAATCAGTGCAGAGCATGTAGTGAGGCAAAACTTCTCCCCTCATGGAGGCCAGGAAGTGAAACAGAGTAAGGTGTAGGAGTCTGTTGTGATTTGGATCTGAAATGCCACCCCCCCACAAATTTCATGTGTTCAGAGGTGTGGCTTTTGGGAAGTGATTGGATCATGGTGGCTGACCTCAGTGATGATAACTGAATGAACTACTAGAAGGCAGGACCTCGCTGGAGGAAGTAGATGACTGGGGGCATGATCTAGAAGGGTTTATCTTCTTCCTGGTCGCTTCCTCTCTCTCTCTCTCTCTGCATCCTGACTGTCATGAGGTGAGCAGCTGTCCTCTGCCATGCCCTTCACCCATAATGTCCGGCCTCACTGCAGACCACAGCAATGGAAACTGTACTGTGGGCTGAAATCTCTGAAACTGTGAGCCAAAATAAATCTTTCCTCCTCCAAGGTCTTTGTGTCAGGTATTTTGGTCAGAGATATTAAAATCCGAGGAACAGAGGGTCTCCCGATATCCCCTTCAAGGGTATACAGCCCCAGCGACCTAACTTCCTCCCAGTTGAACCCATCTCTTAGAAGTTTCAGGACCTCCCAATAACACTCTAAGCTGAGGACTAAGCCTTTAAAGTGGGCTTTGGGGGACATTTATCCAAAGCCTAGAATGACTTATTCAAGAAGCAATGATTTCAATTACTTTAAGACTCACGATTTTCTATGAAAACAAAAAATTATTTATAACACTGTTTTTTCTTTCTGTACTCCCAGAAATGGTGCCTATTGACGCCATATTGTATTCCCTAGATGGACGTGGTCTGGACTCAAAAGTCCATGATCTGATTGTTGGCAGAATGACGGTGGGACCATCTTCATAAATAATTTGGGGGGAATGTAACTAATATTGCATCCCAATACTCAAGCCCTAAATGTATCACAAAATGCCTGAGGGGCTACTCGTCTTCATGATTGGAACTGAGACCCCTGGGATCTCCCATCATGGAGTGTGCTTACTAAGGGGGACTGTTTTAAAAGGCTTATTCAATACAATCATCAGAGGAACCAAAACAGGCAAGTATAGATTCAGTTACAGAAGGCAGACTGTGTTGAAGCAGGTAATCATGTGGAGGTGCAAGCCATAAAGACAATACCAGTTCTTCTGATTCTTTGATATTTATGCAAACTTTTAAGAGATAAATAAACCTCTTTCCAGAATTAAAACCCAGAACTTTTTCCAAAGGACTAGGAGCCATCTCTTCTAAGTCTAAATATCAAGGAAGGTTTTTTGATTACCTGCTTGTCTAATACAAAATGTCTTATTTTTCTTTTCATAAATAGGCAGTTAATTATCACAGAAAGCCATCCCAGTGACCAGATGATTTAGGGTGAACTACGACAACATGTGCAGCAAACAATTCTATGAAATCCTCTCACCTGAGGACAAGTCCTCCTGCATGAGAACATGAATGTCACAGTCTGCATCTGCTTGGCCACATGAATGAGGGGACTTCTTTTGTCTTTGTAATCTCATTAGCACAGTGCGGGTGACACATCCTGGTCTGGCTAAATGCATGCTTAATAACAGAACTATTTCTTTCTTTTCCACATTGATGGAGAGAATATTCTCTTGCTTAACACATGGTTTGATGCAGGTCAGTGGAGATAGGGACTCCCACTCCGTGTGGTCAAGGGATTTCAGGATGCTGGTCTAGTTTGCTTTTTGAAACTGATATCTTCAACATGAAGGTGGCTCAGAAGTAGGATTACAAGGTAAGTCACCAAATCTCTAATTCAGAAACTTGTCACATGAGAATCTTGGAGACTACGATCATAGAAGTCCTGGTGAATTATAGATATAAAGATGAAAGCCCAATACCATTTTTTTAATATGGTTTAAGTGTGGCACCAAAGGTTCATGTGTTGGAGGCTTGGTCCTCAGTGTGGTGATGTTATCAGGGGGTGGGACCTTTAAGAGGTGAGGCATAGGGCCCTGGGGACACTGCCTTGAGAAAGGATTGATGTAGCCAGGCATAGTGACACATTCCTGTAATCCCAGGTAGGCTGATGCAAGAGGATCACAAGTTCAAGGGCAGCCTGGGTAACTTAGTGAGACCCTGTCTCAAAATAATTTTTTTAGAAAGAGGTCGAGAGTATAGCTAAATGGAAGAGTGCTCACTTCATGTGTGAGGCCCTGGGTTCAATACCCAGCATCACAAAAATAGAGAGGTGACTAATGTAATTCTGATGGGACCCCAGTCTCTCCCCAGCTTCCTGTCTGGCTGCTATGTGAGCTCCCCATCTTGCACTCCCTCCCATCATGTTATGCCAATCACCAATGCTGTTGCATACCCTTGAACCTCCAAAACTGTGAGCTAAAAAAAGCTTCTTTTCTTTAGTCATGGGTGTTTCATTATAGAAAGGAAAAATGCAATCACACACCTAAGAAGCCACATATTCAAGGTCAGAATCAGGGAGAGGGCTCTGCTGAGAAAAAGAGTTAGTATCAGAAGTCTTGGGTTCAAGTCCCGGCTTATCTCTGACTAGTTGTTTCAACAGAGACACGTCATTTCTCTGGGATTCAGTGTCCTCCTCTGTATAAACCTGTCTTCTCCATACTGCATGAGATGATTAAGGCTTAAGGGAGATGATACTTGGGAAAATGCTTTGAAAGGTATAAGGCATAAGACAGAAGATACCAATGAATATTACTCATCATATCACTGCAGAAGCTTCTCTGGCTGAGCCAACTCACCCCATCTGTTCAGAGAACAAGAAGTTGACCACGGAACTTCCTTCCAGTGCTTCTGGGGGAGGAGAATTCTAGCACCACAACACCCTCCCTCTGTGAGTCCTTGGAGGCCCTCAAGTCCTGAGCCTGCCAGCCCCAAAGTCTGGGAGGCTTAGTAGCTCACCAGATGTCCACCAGATGACAATGAAAGGACTCAGAGAGAAGCTTCCAGAAAGCCTTTCTCTACAAACACAACACAAAGTCTAGACCCTGTCCCCACCCTGCCTGATTCCACCCTCATCTGTCTTTACCCACTCATCCCCCATCTAAGCTTTGGGATTTCTTGGCATGATATATTTTGTCCCCAGCCCGTTAACTGCAACTTCAACTGTTAAGCCATCTGTCCCAGACCGTATCTTCCACCTCTGCCACCTCCGCAGTTTCCCAGAGCTGCGCCTGACCAGTCAGAAAAAGAATCTGAATAGGAGCATCTCAATTTCAGCAGAGCTGATCTTAACAGCACAGCATTGTCTTTTGATTTCTGAGGATAGCACCAGATTGGACTTTTAGGATTCCCCTGCTGTTTCATTGGCCAGCTGGACAGTCTTATCTGAGATGCCCCAGCTCTGGGTTTTCATCCATAAAATGTAGGGTTTGGTTGCAGTGACCACTGTTGTCATTCTGAGATGCAGAGCTGGAGTTGGGAGAATCAGGCCAGCGAACTCTCAATTGGCTGAGCCCTACAGAATGGGTCCTGGGCTCCTCTTTCCTCCAGGGTCTTAACCAGAGTTTCCCTGCTGTGGCCTCTATTTGGCCCTCTGCTAAGACAGATGGCAACTGACTGCGTATTGGCAGGGTCTTGAGGGGCTTTTACTCAGAAGAAAGACAAGATCAGGACCCTAAGTCCTAGTGACAAGCCAACGAAGGTGTGGCCAATGCATTTGGCCTTTGTTCTGAGCACTTCTGCCACCACCAAGCAGGGACCCCCGACACTTGTTAGATTGCTGTTGAATTCTAGTGTCCCTTTTCCCATCCGCAAGTTTCAATAATGGAACTCCTTGGTTTGCCTCCTTCTGCCCTGAAGTGCTCTAGGATCTGAATTCTTATTTCAGTAACATACTGGGAAGCTGACATTCAGATACACACATTTTATTTTTAATAAAATAGAGGGTCATGTTCTCAGCATTCGTTACAGCTTAATAGCCCAAAAGTCTTCCTAGTAGGACTTTACATCCCCCAGGGAGAAGTTCCTGCTCTCATGTTCCTTGTGGGGCCTGACATTGAGGGAGTTGCAAAGATGGAATAAAGTGGCCTCTCACACAAGCTCAGGGGAGAAAGTGTCTGTTTAAGGATAGAATCTGCACACTTTGTTTTCCTTTGCAAGACTTTGACAGAATCTGGCATAGACTTATTAGCACAGAATGCGATTGAAGTGTGATTCTTTGGCATTTAATCGATTGTGGTGAGGGCAGTCCACAAAGAACATGGGCACTTCTCCGTCTGAATAGGCTTGACAAAGGGCATAAGCCCAAGAGAGGCCTGCAGAGAGGGCTGGGTGCAGGGGTGGCTCAGGATGCACAGACAGACATCCAGCCACAGAGCAGAGGGCAGGCAGACACCTTAATCCAGCTGCAGCAGCTATGGGAAGAGTCCTGAAAGCAAGTCTGACTCTTCAGGGGTTTAGGCCTCTCTCTTATACCCTGCCTCTTTGGCTCAGTCCTGCATCCCCTTCCTCTCTCCCAGCCCCTTGTTAGTGCTCCTGCCTCCCGAACATCAAGGTCAATCATCCTGGGGCCTCTCCCATCTAGGAAAGGACAGGGGTAGACTTCTAGGATGGTATCTGCTCAACCCTCCTATAATCCAGGATCGTCCAAGGAAATAAACAGGAGTCAAGTTTACCTAGGACTAGGAGGGCAGCAAATCAGCAACCATTATAGACACAGGCACGATGCTCTATTCACTGCCTCCAAGTACTGCCTCCTGACCCACAGGAAGCACCTCCAGATTCCTGGAACCATCCTGAGTCCCCAGCTCAGCCAGCTACCTGGACACTGAGCATTCAACAGGGGCAGGATGGTAGTTGTGGGGCCCTCAGAACCCCTGGATCGGTCCCACCCCCACTACTTTCTTCCCCCACTTCACATCTCTCCTGCCCTTTAACATGTCCTAGGCTGGTCACTCTTCCTGGAGAAGGGGCTCTCGGTCCCCTCCGAGCACCCTTTCATCCTCCTCCTTCTCCATGCAGCCCACAGTGGCAGCCAGCCCAGCGCCCACACCACCCCCAACCACGGCAGCCCCTGTAGCTCCCACTGCCGCCCCGGCTGCCACCATCCCAGCCTCTGCAGCTAACGCAGCTGCAGCCATGCCGGCACCTACCACACCCCCTGCTAGGCCCATGAGCCCGGCCCCTACGGCACCCCCCACGGCAGCCAGATGGCCACAGAAGCGCATAGTGTAGGAGTCCATGAAGGCCTTGGCCTTGGCTTGCAGCTCAGCCTCCAGAGCCTCCAAGGTCTGCTCTCTCTCCTTGCACAGTAAGGCCACGCCATGGCGGGCCAAGATGGCATCCTTCTGGGTGGAGAGGAGGTTCCGCATGGTGTCAGGCAGGACCCGGAGAGCAGAAAAGATGCGCTTGGTGGCTATGTCCTGTGTCAATGGGGAGGAGAAAAGGTGTCCTAATCAGGAGACCCAGGTGCCCCCTCCCCTCTGTGGGCCCTGCTGGCCAGCCCCCAGCTTCCCCTGTAGCCCCAGGGGCTTACCTGCTGCCTCACATACTCCTCAAATTCCTTCTTGGCAGCTTCCACTTTCCTCAGGTCATGCAGCTGAGCAGCCATCTGTCCACGGGAAAGCCCAGGCTGCCTCCCTCCTTCCTCCTCAGCCAGGGTGCAACCTGTTTCCTCATCTCCACTCCCAGGGCATCTGAGTCCCCCCACCCCTTGCCCATCCTCCCTCACAGACCCCCCCCCCATCCAACCCCGGGCTCCGTACCTCCTCCGGAGAGCTGAAACCTGGCCCCGTTCTCCCCATCCAGCCTGAGAGGTTCTGCAGAGACACCACCACCGCCGGGTCAGGGAGAGCAGGGGCCTGCGGAGAGAGCTGGGGTCTCGAGGGGGTTTTCACACCTTGATCTCCTGAGCTAGCTGCTGCCCCGTGAGCAGGCGTCTGTCCCCCCTGGCCACTGTGCGCCCCTCGCTCCAGTATCCCTGGCAGCGGCTCTTTGCGTGCTGGGGAGCTGTGCTCAGAACATCAGAAACGTAGGGCTGAAGAAGGTGGCAGAAATCCTCATCTGCATCTGAGGAAGAAAATTCCTCATGCTTAGGAGATTGGGGAGTTTGCAAGGAGAGAGGTTGGGAGCTGGGAAAGCTTGGGAGCCCCTGAGAGGTCTCTGTCCCTCGGGACACTCACCACCTCCTGGGCTTCCTTGGCCTTTGTTCACCCACTGCCTCCCTGGCTTGGGCAGGAGGTAACAACGGGCTCGTTTCCCTAGCAGCAGCTCCTGGACCTTGGGGTATTTGCTGGACAATCTCTGAGAGAAGGATTGAGGAGAGCATTCCACGGTGAGTTCCCTTCCAGGACCCTTGGAGCCCCTTTGCCTTCCACCCTGTAGTGGCCCCTTCCAATCCCCTCCCTCTGCACCACTCACCTGCAGGATATCACCCACGTGCCCCTGCCCTGCTTTATTGGAGATGGATGAGTCACGAACTAAGAGGTCCAGATGCTAGAAGAGAATACACCCTTGACACCCAAGCTGGGCGTGGGGGGGGGGGGGGCTGGGCTGATGAGTTCAGAAAAGGGTGTCTTACCTGGATTGGCACCATCCCATAATGTTTGCCCATCACTTCGGCCACGTGTACAAACATCTGGGATAAGCACAGAGAACACCAGGGTTGGCACTCTCTGAAAGCTCCCATCTGTTCTCAGGTCCTCTCACTCCACCCCCACCCCGGGCTGCCCTGCTATCGGAAACAATCTTGCCACTTCCCCAATCCAAGATCCCCCTGCCTCTCTCCAAAGCAGGCATCTCGCGCTTCACCCCTACCCTCGAACCTCTTGGCCTAGTTTCTGTGTCATAAAATTCTAGACCAGAATGAAAGGGCATTGACTTCCTCTTGTCCAGCCACTGGTTCCATGGGCAATATGGGTGACGCCTTCAATACTGGAGGCCTCCTCACCTCTAGGTAATCCAGGTCTGTGTCCCTCAGCTCCTGGGAGGTATTCAGGATCTACAAGCAAGGGCACAATAAGATGCCAGGGGCCCTGTAGAATGGGTTTGCCTCCAGATATCTCACATCTTCCAGCAAGTCTTTTTGATTCCACCAGCCTTCCGCTGCCCTCAGGGACTGTCAGCCCTTTGGGAACATCTGCCCCTCTCCGTGGGCAACCCCAGAACATGCAGGGACCACAGACACCAAAGCCTGAGAGATGCCCTCAGCTTGGAGGGGGCTGAGCTGGAAAAGGCACATGGGGGTGGGGAGACCTGATCTCCCAGCACCTCTCTCACCTGGTAGGAGCTCAGCATCATGGTGAGAGCACAGAGCTTGATCCTTGTTTCCCTGCTCAGTTCAGAGCTCATCGAATCCCCTGTGTCCACGAGGAACACAGCCACCTACACAGGGGGTTGAGGAGGACAAGCTAAGGCTTCAGCCTGGCCTCGCTCCCTCACGTTCTTCCCCTGACCCAGTCTTCTTGTCCTCACCTCCAAAGATTTCCGTCTTTATTCCCCTCCTCTTTGTCCATCCCCCTCGTTCCTCCCTGACCCCCTTCTGCCCTTTCTCCTCTTACCTTCTTCCCTTCTTTCCCCAGCAGGAAGGGGTGACTCCACATCCATATGCCCCTGGTAAGGCCATTAGCACCCCACCTGAATCCCTGCAAGAAACCCTCTCCTCCTCTGGGCCAGCTGCCCTCACTGGACTCCTGCAGGGAGAGAAGGGGGGGCATCAGCTGGTCCATTCTATGTCCCCAGAGACGAGGCTCCAGACTCAGCTCCTCTCCCAGAGCCAACCTGGGACCCCCCACCTCGCCGCCCTCCACCTCCTGCCTGCCAGCCCTGCCCTCACCAAGCCCGGCAAGCCTCGGAGCAAGTGATCAAGGAGAGAGGACTTCCCTGAGTGCTGCTCCCCCAGGACAGCAAGGAGGCACACAGGGGTGTCCCTGGCCAGGGGGTGCTTCAGGCAGCGGTTGATGGCCCCCATCCTAAGGATGAGGCCTCCAGAAGCATTGATGCGTACAAGGAGAAGTGGCTCCGCCCTCACGGCACAGTTCTCCTGGGAAGGGAGAGAAGGCTCCCTGAGCAGTCTTAATGGGACCCCAAGTCTGGAGTGCTTAAAACTTGGTGCTTCATCCTGATACTCTAAAATAGGGTCAAAGCCACCCATGCCTCTTGGATCTGATCCAGAGGTCTCCATACTCCCCGCCCACCCATGAGGCCTAGTCCCCACACCTGCAGCACAGGGGGTAGAGGTCGCTGTGGCAGGAGCTTCATCTTCTCCCCCAGACTGCGGAGTCCCTTCTTCTGCTTGCAGATCTTTCTGCACTCGGGGCAGCAGGGCGGCTCACAGCCTGGGACCCGGTGTGTGCTGAAGCACCGAATGCAAAAGTCGTGGCCACAGTCCAGTGAGATGGGCTCACGAAGTCTCTCCAGGCAGATGGAGCAGGCGGGCAGCTCCCGGGGTGCCGTGGGACGGGGCCCCAGGCCCAGCTCCAACTTGGGAAATGGTGCATGGGACCTGGGGAGGGTGGGGGGGGCAGGACATGACATTCAAAAGCAGGATATTTTATCAGATGCACAGATTTTGGGGGGGCAGGCTGACAGCTTGGGGTGAAGGTTTCTCTGTGTCACCTCCATTTCTCTCAGGGTTCTCCATGGACTTATGGAGCTGCTCCCAGACAGGCCAAGATCTATCTGTTCCTTACTCACTTGTACCCTAGGTTCTGGCAGCCCCAAACTGGGAACAGCAGAACAGTCGTAAAATAACACCCAAGATTAAAAAAAAAAAAAACCTGAATGGAACCCTGGCTCTGCCAGTTCCCAGCCATGCAACTGTGGGCAGGGTCCTTCCCGTCTCTGAGTCCCAATTTCCTAATTGTCCCAATGGAGAGATTAGGAGTCCCAAGCTCATGGGGTGTGGAGATAATCTCCAGGATGATAGGTGAGCAGCAGTCTGCTCCGTGCCTGGTGCCAAAGCTCAGGAAAACCCTCTCTGCTGACCTTTTGCAACAGGGACCCCCCCCCGAAGAAGGTCAGCAAGCCCCCCAAGAAGTAAGAAACTCTACAAGCCCCTGCTGCTGGGATAGTCAAGAGAGAGTGGCAAGGTCCTGGTACCCAAGCAGCCCATTCTGCAGCTGAGCAGATGGATCTGGTTCTCACAAGATTTCTTCCCCTCTCTGAGCTGAGCATCTGCCTCCCCAGCACCCATCTGCTTTTCCCTGCCCTCCCTCCACAACCTGGTAGATCCAGCCTGGCACTCCTTCCCTAGGGATAGCCCTGTGGGAGCCTCAGCCGGTAGCTGCAGGGCTCCATGCTCCTGGACCAGCCTTTTCCAGCTGACCTGCCAGGCCCACTGCACCAACCCCTGCCCAGCAGGCCCCAGCACTCACCAACTGTTGCTGCTGTTTCCCATGAAGCTCCGTTTTCTCTCCTTGGAGAGAGGGGGGCAAAAATTAGGACAGAATCCAGACTCCTGTCTTCATGCTGGGTTTCCAGGATGTCCCTCCCCCTCCCTCCCAGGCCCATCCCCCATCCCAGGTGGCTGCTTCCCACCCCCACCCAATCTCCCCAGATTTTAGGACTGAAGACTTGCCCGTTTGCCAAGCCGATGACAAAAGGAAGTGACTGACAAGGTGGGCCTCGGCATGGGAGGCTGGAACAGAGAGGGGGTCCAACGCAGAGAGAGGCCCACCAAGACCTTCACCGGAGGCAAGGATGGCTTTTCTCCCGGAGGGCTTGCTGGGCGGTGGCAGGTGGAGGGTGGGGCAAGGGATGGTTTCCCCAGAGGAGCTGACTCCCTGTCAGAGCTGGAGAATAAATGTGACAGTCCGGAAAGAGGAGGCTGCTGCTGGACTCACCCCAGGGGGAGGAGACAGGGCTGCGGGTACCAGGGCTCTGGAGGAGGGAGGGACAGAGCCCAGCTCAGAATCCCTGGCAGAGGCTGGGATGCAGGCGAGCCGAGGTGGTGAGTCGCCATGGAGACGGAAGGGAAAGATAAGGACAGGGAGGGGGAGGGGGACGGAGAGAGAGAGAGAAGCCATGTGGGTGCACTGGCAAAAAGGAAAGGGGCTCGGAGTGGGATCATGGGCCAGCACTGCCCCTACCGGGCCAGTTGGGGTCCTTCAGGGCCACAGAGCGGGATGCCCAGAGATGCCGCTGAGAGACACAGGAGAGAGGGCAACCAGAACGACATAGAGACAGCGAGGCTATTGGTCCATTCATTCGTATAACCTACTTTCACTGAGCACCAACTATGTGCAGAGCTGCACGGTGCCACCACGCTGCATGTGGCTTGTACATCCCACCACCCTCCTCCAAGCTTACATCACTGATGCAGCTTTCCTCAGTACCTTTGGACGCTGCATGTATCCTCTCTGTGTCTTTCCTTATCAGTGTTTTTTGTTCTGCTTCAAGCTGGTGAAGAGCCACCTCTGGACCTTCTACCTGCCTCTGGACTGGACCCTTCACCTTCTCCCATCCATTCGGCAGTACGTAACCAGCACAGATGCTCCCAACATCAGTGACCCCACACTGCTCAAACATCTTCCATGGCTCCCTACTACCATCAGATTATAATTCAAACTACCCAGCCTGCACCCCCAGGCCTGAATCTTCCTCTCTAGCCTTCTCTCTCATCCTCTCACCTCTCACCCTGCCCTGGTACCTTTGCTCCGTGTTCCCTCTGCCTGCTCTTCTTCTTCCCTCCTAAGACATCCTGCCCACACTTAGTTCAGGTGCCTGGAGACTTCTTGCCTCCCAACTGGATGTGATGTGCCTTCAGGTGGTTATGACTTGGAAACCTAACTTGGGACAGGTTTGGTGCAGCCCAGGCTGCCTGATCTGAGCCAGATTACCAGCTGGAAGGCCCTGGTTATTTTAATCTGCCTCTCTGAGCTCTAAGATCACTTGCCCAGGCAGGGGAGTTACTGGCAATTCCTAAGGGCTGGGATGCAGAGGAGTTAGGGTGGGGTGGGATTCAGAACCTGGAGAAATTCTGTAGAGACAACCCCCAGCAGGCAGGGATGCCCCAGGAACTCAAAAAAAAAAAAAAAAAAAACAATCACAGGAAGGGCCACATTGAGCCAAGCCTGGTCCTGCAAGGTACACAGGCCACTGAGGACTAAGAGATGCCTTGAGTGAGAATGGAACCCATGGGGAGAATTGTGGGAAGGAGCTCCTGGGTTTCAAGAAGGCAGATTGACCTATGAGGAGGGAGGGAATTTGAGGCTGTAGAAATAGACTTGTTCATCATTTCATCCATTCTTTTATTCATTTACCGAACAAATAGTGGTTAGAGTCGTGCAAGGTGCCAGGAATGTGGCCATAAGCAACTGCCCTCAAAAACTTGTACTAACTCCGAGAAATATGGGCCTGCTTGGCCAGCCATACCACTCACCTCCATTGTTTGCCCATTGGCCGTTATTTGTTATCCACTGTTCCTGCACACATCTGTGTGGTGGGCCCAAGGAGGGCCGGAGCAAACCGCTGTGTATCCCATTAGTCCACAGCTCAGCAGCTGGCAGGACAGAACTCCTCCCTGGCAGGAGAGGCCACTTGCTGCAGGCCTCACATTCATGCAGTACTTCTTCCTTCTGCCCACAGCACACAACCTGGCCCATGGTACCTCTCCAGAATCAGTCTCCAGATCCTGAAGAGGAGCTCTCTCAGTGCCTGCTCTCCTTCTGCCTCCTTCCTCCTGGTAGACAGTTTCTTGGTGGCATAGCCCAGGCTGGTAACCGTTTGGCCTCATGACCTCCGGCTCCAGCTTCCGGGCTGGGAGGAAGTGAGGAGACAGAGTCATTTTTGGAAAAAATAAGCTTCAGAAGCCAAAAATACAGTCTCCCAGAATGTGACCCTGAGGTGGGCAAGAGAAAGCTTCTCTCTCTCTCTCTCTCTCTCTCTCTCTCTCTCTCTCTCTCACACACACACACACACACACACACACGCACACGCACAAATACAAGCATCCATGTGCCTAGTCACCTCCCACCAATATCCTACGTAAGTTCTCACATCACACAAACCATTCCACCTACGCCACACCGTGTGTGTATCTAACTTGCAGCACTCACATACTCATCTGAACAGTCACACACAGACTCACAACTGCACTTGCACATCTACATACACTCACACGCTCCTGTATACATACTCACAAACACAAATCTGTTGTTATGGTTTGGATCTTTAATGTCCCCTAAACAGTTTACGTATTAGGCACTGCAGGAATGTTCAGAGGTAAGATAACTAGATTATGAAAGCTGTAACCTCATCAGTGGGTGAATCCATTTCCTAGATAATAATTCAAACTGGGTGGTAAATGCAGGCTGGTGAGATGTGGCTGAAGGAGAGAGGTCACTGTGGGCGTGGCTTTGGGCTGCATCTTGTCCCCTGTGCTCACAAGTGCACTCATTGCTTGCTCTCTCTCTCTCTCTCTCTCTCTCTCTCTCTCTCTCTCTCTCTCTCTCCAGCCATCCATCCATGCTGCAGATATTTATTGAACACTTACTCCAGGTATCATATGAGGCCATGGATTACACTGATGAACTTTAGAGAACTTCTGGTCTACCAAAAAAGACAGAAAGGCCAACAGCAAGTAGTGTGTGATAAGCTCTCTGATGGGGGAGAGCGGAGAGACAAGGAGGAGAATCAAGAAAAGGCATCTTGCTCAGATGCAGGCAACTGGGAGGACTTCCTACCCAAGCCACATCTGAAGGATGAACATGAAAACATGTTCAGGCAAAGACATGGGGTGAGCAGACATTTCTGGTGAGAGACGAGCCCAGGCAGTAACCCAGAAGTATAAGATAAACTAGTGGGAGGGTAGCTTGTGAAGAGAGGAGAGGTAAGGGAATGGGGACCCTCTCATAGATGCATATATGAGGCATCATCCCTCATTCCCTGCGCCCACAGTGCTCTTTGCAGGGTTCAGAAGTCCACTGTCCTGTCAAGCTAACAGCCTCTAGGTGCTATTGCAGGTGGTGAGCTAGAGGAAAGATGGGCTGAAGACCCTCAACCACCCCAGCACCCATGCCAACATGGCTGCCTCCAAGCCTGAACCCTCACCCTGGCCCTGAGGTGCAGCTGTCTATTCCTAGTGCCTGCAGTCTTCTTGCTCCCAGATCCAGGGGCCTTTTCTGTTCTTGTCCTGTCTTTTACTATGGCTGTGTCCAGGCCAGGCCTCCACAAGTGAGCAACAGAGGCCAGCCCAAGCAGCTGGGGGCAAAGGGATAAGACCTCCTTCCGGCATATGAGGAGTGGGTTTTAGAGAAGTAGGACAAGATCTAGGATCAGGGACAACAGAATTCAAGGTAGGCACCAGCCATCCCAATGGCTGCCATATCTGGCTGGCATTTTTAATTTCAAATACAGATCAAGATAAGCTGGGTATGGTATAGAATTCCTGCTGGTGTGTGTGAGAAGAGAAAGCAATGTTTCAACTTCTGACAGTCCCTGCCAGGGGTCCTCAGTCCCTTCCCACCACAGGTGGCCCCAGTCCTGCCATAGGACAGCCCTTTCAGGAATTGAAAGGACCATTCCTGGGCACAGTCCAAATATCTGAAACCCTCATGACTTAGGAAAGGCAGATGTCAGCTCAGACTCCTCACAAATAAAGCCATATGTTCACAATGCACCCTCAAGGGCCATGATGACAAGAGGGTACCTAGTTTCAATCATGGTGTTCAAGCTGCAGCAGTTGGTAGGAGCAATCAGTAGAGGGGATACTGAGGTCAGTCCCTGAACTCTACAGCTGGGCGAGAGACAGCTGTAGAGAGCCCAGGCTCCTGCTCTAGACAGTGCACCCATAAGTGTGTCTTCTACCCAACTCCAGCTTACAGCTTCTCGGGACATCCATCAGCATTTGGAGGAAAGTTTGATTTCCCCAGATCTCCTTTCAAAGCTCCCCAACACCAATCTGGTCTTGAACTTCCCGAAATAACTATTAATAATAATAACATAAAGGGCTGGGGTTGTGGCTCCATGGTGGAGTGCTCACCTAGCACATGTGAGGCACTGGGTTTGATCTTTAGCACCACATAAATAAAATCAAATAGAGATATTTGCCCATCTACAACTAAAAAATACATATTTAAAAAAAATAACAGGGCTGGGATTGTGGCTCAGCGGTAGAGCGCTCGCCTAGCACGGGCAGGACCCGGGTTCGATCCTTAGCACCACATAAAAATAAAAGGCATTGTGTTGTGTCCATCTACACCTAAAAAATAAATATTAAAAAAAAAAAAAACACATGATTTTCCAACATTCGCTTAGCAATTTAGGTTTCACAGTGTGTTGTCATGGGAGCTATGACCTCAGTCACTTTTCACAGTGCAGAGAATGGTATCCCTGTTTATCCAATGAGGAAACTGAGGTTCAGAGACTCAGCAAACCTTCCGGTCACAGTCCTGGAAGGAGAAAATCAGACACCTGGACTCCTAGGTCTGTGCTGTCCCCTTCCCCCTGGCCTACTGTGTGCTGAGACATTTTGTCTGCCACGCCCCATGCCTGGCAGGCCCTCACTATTCTCTGCCTGCCTGCATGAGACCCATCCTCCAGGCCCAGCTTGGCTCAGATTTCCTGCAGGTGAAGCCAGAATTAGACAGGCAGTCAGTATAGACAGGTGTAGATAAAATTGAGGTCATAGCTCCCATGATTGCTTTGGTAGTCAGGTCGATCTAGGAGGCCAGTTTTGAGTGAGTTTGGCAAGTTGGAGACTGTCCCCTGAGGGACTGAAGTGTTAATTCCTTCAGAGCCCTTCCTCCATCCTTATTAAGAACCTCCCCCTGCTCCAACTAGTGGCTGAGGTAACCTATCCCAGGAAGTGCCCCTCCCTACATGGAGCTATAAAGTTGTTAATTAATATGTCCTTGGCTACTCCATCCTGCCCTTCCCCCTTCAGCCCACCTGTTTCCCACCCTTGGTCCGTGTCCCACCCAGCATTCCTGGGCCTAGTCACCAACTCAGGAAGGAGAAAGATAAGAGGGGAAAGGCAGGAGAACAAAGGAAGCCTAGGACATATGAAAAGGGCAGAACAACTTCTTGAGATAGCAGGATACAGCTATGGCCCCCTTCCCCCTCCCAGGAGAAGTCTATGTTACCCCTTTTTAAATAAACCCTGCTTCATATGCTTGCCTCGGCGTGCTCCTCTAATGTTCAAACTTCAACGTGAGGAAGCAGAACTCCTCACTGATAACTGGAGGTATCACAGGGAACCTTCTAGATTCTTCTCTCTCTCTCTTCCCCTTTGTTTTTCAATTATAAAATGCTTTTCTATATATGGAAGATGGCGCTGGACACGGGGATATTATGATTTGAATATGAGGTGTCCCCCAAAAGCTCCTGCATTAATGCAGGAATGTTCAGAGGTAAATGATTCGATTATGAGAACAATCACCTGATCAGTGTAAGGTCAGGCTGTAGCAGCGACCAAAAAGAGACAGATTTTAAAAGGCCGGTGACAGAGGCTTTATTGAGACTTTGCTCGCAGGCAGAACTCTATCAGACTGGCAGAGCAAGAAGAGGATCTGAAGAGAAACCGCGTGGGGGCTCAACCGGACTGGAATTTTATGGGGCTTAGGGCAGGAAGGGAGGGCTTGGGGCAGGAAAAGGGGATGTTAGAGTCCCTTGTCCCACTGGAGTTGGTAGGGGGAACTGGCTAAGATCCAGGATTGGCCAGGAGACCCCGCTGATTGACAGGCGGTTCCATCAACGCCTGATTGATGGTTCTTTTGAGTGGGCTGCTTGGTGCTTTGTTCCTAAGTCACCTTCATCGACCTGACAATCAGAGAATTAATTCATTTGAGGGTTAATAACTTGAAAGGACTAGTGTTCTAGATGGTTAACTATAGGCAGGTTTAGTGTGGCTAGAGGAGGTGGGTTCCTGGGGTCACGCCCTTAGGGATTATATTTCGTCTCCCTGACTCTTCCTTCTCTCATTCTGCTTCGTGGCTGCCAGGAATTGCGCAGCTCTCCTCCACCATGCCCTTCTGACATGATGCTGTGCCTCACGTCAGGTCTGGAACTATGGGTTGGCTGACCATGGACTGAAACCTTCGAACCCAGGAGCCAAAAGCAAACATTTCCTCCTCTAAGTTTTTCTAATCAGGTATTTTAGTCACAGTGCTGAAGAGCTAACACAGAGGGCTACAATAAATAAGATACTGTCTGCCAATTAAAATTCAGAGGAGGCCATGGATCGGAACTGAGCTTCTGCGCTAAGCCCAACAAATCAAGTAAACATAGAGTTACTCACGCCACCAAGCTGAGACTAAGAGATTTATCTGATCTTTCAAGAAATCAGGAGAGAGAGAGGTAATAGCCAAATCTCCAAATGAGCCAGTTTTAGTACACACAATAACGTCATCCCCTCTTCTGCTTTAAGCATTCAAAGAAAATTAACTTTGAAACAACCAATCCACTTTTGGTTCCATTTATTCTTTCTTCAACCCTTTTCTGCCTTATAAAGCCAACCTCAAGCTCAGCTTGATTTTAAAACGGCAAATAAAAGCCAATTCAATCTTTAAATATATTGTAATTGTGTCTTTTGGTGGACCCCGACCTCAGGAACTCAAAGGCTATATGCAAACGAGGAAGCATCAGCTGCCCCCCCTCAGTGAGACTCAGGCTGGTATGGAGGAAGCCCAGGGAACTGTGGGAGCCCAAAAGGAACTCTTCACCCAGACTTGGGAATCATGTGGCTTAGCCTT